TCGCGTCGTGCTTGTCCTCAGTAAGGGAGCCGAAGTGTAAGATTCTTCTCTTGACATGGAGCAGCCCTATTTCAGTTGTCTTGTTAACTGTCAAAAGAGAAAAATCAGGTCGTTAGAGCGAACACGCTTTGAGCACAATGAGTTCGCCAAAAAAAAAAAAAAAAAAAAAAACAGAAATACAAACAAAGATTAAGAGACCTACTCGGATCCTGAAAGCTGCAGTGGCCATCATAACGAAAGAAGAAGAACTTCGTTTCGTAGGCCCCCGCGTTGCTGGGATAACTGTGTATCCCGTCGGCAATGGTAGGTCGCCTGGACAAGTAGTAGGAATCCTTATCCTTGCTCTTCTTTAGGTAATACGAGCAGCCAAGCTCTAAGGCTGTCAGTTCGCCCAATCCGTTTTCCCGGCACGCGATGTACATCGCAACAGCAATGGCGTACGCATTCGGGGTTAACTGCATCGGCGCGACCCCAAAGTGGTCCAAGAACGACCTGATGAAAGGGTGCAGAGGGATAAGTCCTCCACCTGTAATGATCTCCTCGAAGATCACGGCCAGGCCTCTTGACGGGTACCGTGACGAGTGCGTCAGGTCATGGAATACGTCCACTTTGATGCCGAATTGGCTTATCACCCTCTCAAGTTCATCTTCGGTGAGTACCAAGAAAACCTCAAGAGGGATATGCGGGGACGAGTTGGTTCCCTACTCAGGTCCGGTAGCTGGGGGGTCCATTTTGCCAGTCTGCAACAGCGACAAGCAGAGGGATCTTTTGGTCTCCGTACGTTATCCCGTACGATGACATGGGAGGAAGTAAACTCCCTAAACCCTAAATAAATACCCTAGCAACATGGTGTGAGCTGCCGTTCGCGGCTCGAACCCGACGCAGACGACTAGTCTCCGATGGGTTATCGGAAAACCGACGCCATTAACAACAAAAAAAAACGGGGGGAGACGATGGCAAGAAAACCCTTACCTACCAAAGTACAACAACGGTGTCTGCTTCAGATGCCAAAAAAATACAAGTTTGGAAGACAAATGTTCTTGGCCTGCGAAAATCTTTTACTCTCTGTAAAAAAGGCTTTGGTACCATTGCCTGGGAACGATTCGAGGGTTTTATAGCGTGTGGATCGGCGTTTGGATTTCTCGGAATCAAAACGACTTTTGAGCGATAAAGGTTTCTCACCGTTGATCTTGGCCACGTGTTATTCATCGGTGAGGAAGGGTGAGCGAAACGATTGGATGAAGTCAAACTTTCATCTTTCCAGTTGAAAAGCTCAAACAACGGCCTTATCTCTCTAAGAGCATTAATTGCGTTTCAAATCTTCATTTAATGCTCTGATAAGGTACACCATTCCAACGCATATTGCATTTAATGTTCTGATAAAGCGCACTGTTTCAGCATGCAAGGCATTAAATGTGATTGGCTGGCATTTATCACGCAAGGGACACACCTGTTAGCGTAGGGGTGCTTCATTAAATGTCTTCCTGATTATTAGAATGAATGGGTAACGTCAGACGATATCAGGTCGCATGTCCCTGAGTGTGCGAGGTCGCGCTCATGCAAATGCCGCTCCGACCTGCTTTCAAACAGATTAAAATTTTCAGAAATCATCTGGCCGCGGCACGACCTGTAGTTTCCAAGGTTCAATCCTCAAACCTTAAAAACTAGGGGGCTTCTGTTATGACTAAAAATGCAAGGGCTGACGTCAGGACCCTTTAGCCCCCAAAGGTCAGAACATTGGAATAGCCACCATCTGCGTCTGTCAGGATAGTGGGCGCGCATCAGGCTTTCAGGAGGCTGTGGTGCTCCCATGTGTCCAATCCCTGCTCTAAATCGTGCAAATCACTCTGGAAGGTGGGCAATGTGACATAAAGAAGGATTTGCACGGATAATCCCACCAACTTGCAGATTTAGTGATCATTACCTCAAGACATTTGACTATAAATTAGGAATTCATCTCTCATTAAAGGGATTCGTACATTTGACGCTTGATTAATTACTCTTTCTTTTCTTAGCATTCAATACTTTGTAATACCATTGTAAAAGTCAGTCAGCTAATAGCAACTTGACCCTCATCATCAATACAAATATCAGTGGACATAGGACTTGCTACCTTAGCATCCGAACCATTTTAAAATTGTCCCCAGTGCATTTACTATCCTTTATCCATTACTTTCACGTGTGGTTTCTGGGCCCATACAGCATTTCACACGTGCGTTTCATTGGTGCAAAATCATGCATCAACAATTTCCAAAAAAAAGCAATAAAAAAGAGAGAATACCAAGAAAAAAAAAAAAAAAGATAAATCATAGTTAAGGGCGGTTAGATTTAAAAAAAAAAAAAAAAAAAAGATAAATCATAGTTAAGGGCGGTTAGATTTAACATTTGGGATTTTGGGTAAAATTTTAATTTGACAATTTTATAATATTTCACAATTTTTTACAAATTTAAAAATATTTACTTTTAAAAATAATTTTTATTAAACTAATAATAATTAAATATTAAAAATTATAAAATTTTCGAAATAGAGAAAAAATAAATAAATAAAGGGGGTGCTAGCGGCCCAGGGCAAGCCACATGTTGGTGATGCTGTTCGCCATTGTTATTCGTGTATTTTTTTTTTTTAAATCTTTCTGGCTTTTATAAAGTAATAAAAATAAAAGAGTGAGGCTAGTTAAAATAAAAGAATAACATTAATTATTGAATATGATTTTCTTAACATTTAACAAACGTTTTAGTAAAAATTAAAGTTATGATAGGGTTACCCAATTTTATTTTTTTTTCCAATTCAAGTATAACTGTCGTCGTTTTATTATTTGGAGTAATATTTTTGGAAAAGTTGAGTTAGATTGTTATTACGTGGTAGAATTTAAAAATTAATAAAAATACCTCTTAAGTTTGTTAATTTAGTTAAATACTCTCAATAATAAAAAGTTTATAAATTGTCAAAAACATAGTCATTCACCCGCATTTGTTAGATTCTAGTCACCATCATCGAAAGGTGATTAGAATCTAACAAATTTGAATGGGTGGGAGTGTTTTTGTCCATTTATAAGTTTTTTTTGTTGGAGATTTTTAGTTAAATTAACAAATCTAAGGGCGTATATAGATGAATACAATATGATTTAATTTTAAGAATAAAGTAACAAAGAATTGGAAAAAAAAAAAAAGTAAAACAAACAGGCCACCTGCAATCTATATATAGCAAACTAACGGGATAATATAATATTTAATTATAATGAAAATTCATATATATATATATATATAGGCTTTGGATGCTAAATTTTGAGTGTGTTTTAGCCTTTAAGTTACAGACGGTACACCTCCAGTTTCTAAACAATTTCAAGATACTTATTATTATTATTTTAATTTATGAAGATCTTCAAATAACTATTCGTACTATATCTATTTATCTTTTTATGTTTTAATATTCGTTCTCAATGTTTCCTGCATGTGCAGTTTCATCTTTGTCTTTCAAAGTGTGCGACTATATAACTACTAGCTCATAGGGGAGTTTTGTGGGGGGTTAACCGTGTGGTGAGGCCTGTGGTTTGCTAGTTAAAGATATCTCCCAACGAAAGAAGGTGTGAGAAATTAACTTTTGTTAGTTATGTAGCATTAATTCTTCAGTATTTATTTGACCAAACAAGTTAACGTGATTACAATATTGGCATTTTTTGAAGAAAAATGGAAATGGTTTATTAATTGAAAACTTGTGGTTATACTCTGGAAATTCAAGTCTAAAAAAGAACAAATGCACCGCAACTCAAGAATTAATACTTAAAAATCAAGTATAACGCATGGGAAAGTCAAAATCTAATTGAATTGAAATGCTTAACCAAAGATTTTAATGTGATAACAATACTGAAGAAAAGTGTAAAATGAATAGGGATGTAATATCAAAACAAACTATTCAGTTATTTTCATTAAGTGAAAAGCTATAAACATTAATTTTTTTCAATTCATTTTATTTTATTTTAAAAATCATTATTAAATTAAAAAACAAATTTCAAATTACTTAAACTAATTCCAATTGAGACCTAAATTGAAAAAACAAATAATGATACTTAACAGCTGACAGAGTCTCTATCCTTAATTAACAGGTTTTTAAATATTAACTATTAGCCACTCCCACCAATGATCTAAAAAAGCCCCAGTTTTAAACAATGTTTTTAAAATCAAACCGGTCAATGATCGAGTCAGGCGACTAGGTCCCGGGTTGATCGGTCTAACTGGTCATAAACTGATAACAACAATAATAGTAATAAAGATTCCGGTTATTGACATGAATTCAATAAACTAATCATTATTTTGTACTCGTTCTGTTTACTACGATAAGAGGGTTCACTCTTAGCTGAGGATGTATCTAAAATGGTTTTGCTATGGTCATGATTTGGATTTTGGACCCTTCCTTTAAGGATTCTAAAATTCCTCAAACCGTGTAGAAGCATATATTTGATGCTTTTGGTTGCCATCAATATATGATACAGTACTATCTAAAAGCGCAAAATATACAAATTTTTTATATATGACTATCACTTTAAAAAAAAAAATAAAGATATAAAAAAGACGTTCTATCCCAATTAATATTTAATTATCAGTCAACGATTTTTTTTTTTTTTTTTTTCATCTTATACTGATGTACTAAATTTTTTGATAACAGAGTTTGAGGATGGAAGTTATTCTGGATATTGCATCAAGGATTGGAGAATACTTGGTAGAGCTGACAGTAAACCAAGTCCGTTACCTATTTTGTTTCATCACAATTGTTGAAGAACTTAATGAACAAGAAATCAATTTGAGATTGGCAAGAGAAAACGTGAATAAAGTTGTTGAAATAGCCAAAAATAATACTGATGAAATCAAGGGATATGTAAAAAAGTGGCTAACTGATGTCGACAAGATCCTGGCTGATGTTGAGGGATTGAAAGAAGAGACAGAAGTTCAAATTGGGGTTGCCGATATTGCTTAGGTAGGAAGCAGTAGAGAAGACAACCATTATGCTGAAGCTAAAAGACAATTGCCAATTCAATGGAGTGGGTTATCCTACCACTCTACCAGGCATCGAATTTTTAAAGCCTAGTGAATTTCAGACTTTCGGGTCTTCAAAATCTGCTATGGATGATGTTATTGGGGCACTGAAAAATGATGAGATCCATATAGTTGGATTGTATGGGATGGGTGGGGCGGGTAAGACAACCTTGGCAAAAGAAGTAGGTAATAGAGTGAAGGAGATCTTTAATGAGGTTGTGATGGTTACCATATCTCAGACTCCAAACTTTAAAAATATTCAAGGTCAACTAGCAGGTTCGCTAGGGTTGAGATTCACATAGACAGAGGAGGAGCAAGGTGTAGAAGGAAGAGCGCGGTGATTATACTTGAGATTCACCGAGACAGAGAAGAAGATCCTCGTAATCTTGGACGATGTTTGGGGAAAATTTGAGTTAAAATCGATATTAGGAATTCCATTTGGTGATGATAACAAGAATTGCAAAATTCTTCTAACTACTCGTCGACAACAAGTTTGTATTGATATGGAGTGTCAGTCACGAATTCTGCTAGATATTCTAAATGATGATGAAGCTGTGGCTTTGCTCAAAAGGCATGCAGGCATAGGTGATGCCTCCAATTTGAATCCTCTGGCAGTTAAAATTGCTAAGGAATGTGATGGCTTGCCTTTAGCACTTGTAGCTATTGGGAGTGCTCTAAGAGAAAAGGATTCTGACGAATGGAAAGTTTTGCATGACAAACTAAGAGATTCAAAACTTGAAGATATGATTAGTGTTACAGGGGAGGACAGCATTGTTGCTGGAGAAAAAGGTATTTATGCCACTCTTAAGTTGAGCTATGATTATTTGAAGGGTGAGCAAATCCAGTTTTGTTTCTTGTTGTGTTCACTGTTTCCTGAAGATTGTGAAATCTCTTTAGACAAACTGGTTAGAATTGGAATAGGGTTAGACTTGTACCAAGATGTTAACTCTATCGAAGAGTTAAGGAAACAATTTCGCGTTATGGTTAATAATCTGAAGGCTTCGGGTTTGCTAATTGATGCTGGCGAAGAGGTCGTAAAAATGCATGACATGGTTCGTGATGTTGCCATATGGATATCATCGGGAAAACATGTATTCATGAATAAATCTAGCATGGGATTGACAGAGAGGCGTAAAAAGAACATGCTTGAACAATGCACAGCAATTTCCTTGATGGACAATGGTAGTGACATAAATTTGCTTCCTCAAAGCTTGGTCTGTCCTAGGCTTGAAATTTTACTACTGAATTTTGGTATCGATGGTGATCCAGGTGATTTTTTTAAAGACATGAAAGCACTTCAAGTTGTAACTTTAATTGATGTGGAGATGTCATTTAAATCACTTGAATTATTGACGAATCTTCAAAGTCTACGACTGAAATACTGCAGATTGCTAGACATCTCTTTTCTCGGAAAGTTGACAACACTTAAAGTTCTGGATTTGGAAGGTTCTTCTTTGGCTGGAGAATGGCCCAAAGAATTGGGGGATCAACTAAGTGAATTGAGAGTGCTGGACGTGCGTCATTCTAAACTGAGGATTCCACGAGATCGGTTACGAAGATTTTCTCAACTAGAAGAATTATACGCTAACCCTTCTTTCCTTTGGCACTCAGATGAGATTACTAGTGTAGAGGAAAGTTGTGCCACCGTCTGTGAGTTAAATTCACTTTCATGCTTGGTCTCACTGTCACTAAGAATTGATCAGAAATGCCTTCCAAACGGATTTGCTTTCCCAAAACTGGAAAGGTATGGGATAGATGTGACAGGAAGTGATTTTGCTTTGTTTTCAGGTGAATATGAAAGGAGCTTAAGTATAGAAAGTATCGAAGCAGTCTCACTGATTGCATTTGAAGAATTGTTGCAGAATGTACAATCTCTTCGTTTATCTGACATAAAAGGTTTGCAAAATTATTTCCCAAGCGTTGATCAAACGTGCTTCAGTGAGTTGATTTACCTTGGATTTGGAAAATGTGAGGAGTTGAAATGCATCATAGATTCGTCGCAACGGCAGGCACCAGCCGCTGCATTCTCAAATCTGAAGACATTGATTTTATTTAATATGAGCCATCTAGAAGAGATATACAAAGGTGCAGAGCCTCCAAGTACGTTTCTTGAAAAACTGGAAACAGTGACAATTTCAGAATGCCACAGTATGTGTAACGTATATCCACCAATGTTGCTTCAGAGACTCCATCAATTGAAAACGGCTGAGATCTTTGATGCAATAAACTATCTGAAGTATTCAAACTTGAAGGCTTATCCCAGACTGAGGGAGAAAATACTGCGGTGCTTTCAAGTTTAGAATCATTACAGCTGAGGAATTTACCAGAATTGAGGTTTATATGGAAGGGACCCGTCCGACTTGTAAGCTTCAAAAATCTTGCACATGTTCAAGTGCATGGCTGCAGTAACTTGAAAAATCTCTTCGCATTGTCAATTGTGCGACGTCTGGTGCAGTTAGTTCAACTCATAATAAGTGATTGTGAGAGGCTGGAGCATATTGTCTCAGATTATAACCAGGGCGACGAAATTGCAGAGATAGAAAATGGTAAAAATATCGTGCTCCCTAAGCTAACAAAGTTGCGAGTTCTAAAGCTCCCAAAACTCATCAGCTTCTGTTCTGAAAATTATTATCCAACTTGTCCAATGTTGCAACTGTTAGAAGTTGATGGTTGCCCCAATTGGACTACGCCTATTATTGTTGAAGCTAATATGCAGAATCCACCAGAGGTATGCTTTTCTTTTTTCAGAAATTACGGGTTTATCTGATGCCTTAAGTCAAAGTAAGATAATAGATCTTAATAAAAGTTCTTATTTTTTGTTTCTCAAAATTTACAGTTTCAGCATTTGCAAGATTGCAATGATGATGTAATTCCGGGCACATTGGTTCATAGCTTCCAAAATTTGGAAGACCTAATACTTATAGGTTGTGCTGTACAAGTGGTATTACAGCTTGAAGGTGTTGTTGCTGAGGGACGAAAACACAAATTATCGTTCCCAAGTTTAAAGAAATTGAAATTGAAGTTTTTAGAGAAGCTGGAAGGCTTATGTATGGGTCTCAGTCTCACGCGATCATTGTTGTAGCAGAGGAAGAGGACCAAGCCTTCTTGAACAGTAATCTCCAACCTGAAACCTTTCAGAAACTTTTAAAAGTTGCGGTAAAAAGTTGTAGCAAATTAAAATGTCTGTTTCCAACCACCATAGCCCGAGGTCTTCAACAACTGGCAGAATTATATGTAGAAGACAACGTCCAATTAGAAGAAGTACTTGGACATACAGATGTAGCTGGCATCATGGAAGACGAAGAAATTGTGCTGCCTCAGCTAAACTATTTGAGACTCGTTGCATTACCAAGCCTCACTAACGTCTGTCCTGGGGGATGTCACTTCATATTTCCATCTTTGCGAAAATTGGAATTTCAAGATTGTGGTGCGACAGTTCCAACATTTTCCTTAACCGGAGATGAATGTGTGCATGCTGATGAAAAGGTACTAAAACTTCTTTAGATCCTTGACTCAATAGACATTAGCTCAAGTTATTGTTTATCAAGATAAAGAGGTGAAGATATTGTGACGTGAAATGGGACATATACGGATAATGATTCATCTTAGCTAATAAAATTAGAGGGGGCTTGTATGAGCTTATAAGTTGGTTAAACTAGCTTATAAATTCTAAAATCAAACTGACTTGTTTATCTAGAACTTTTTTTTTTGGCTTATAAGCTACTTTGTTCAAATATATTATCACATTATCCTTATTTAATTTTAAAATTTCATCATATAAAATAATATTGTACCCTTTTTAGTCATTTTAATAATAAAACGTTATTATAAGCCACATTTTATCAAATGCTTAAACTACTTATCAGTCACTTATAAGTATTTCAACCAAACACTTATAAACTCAAATGGGTATTTGTCTGAGCTTAAAAGCTGGTCAAACTAACTTATAAGCTCTAAAATTAAGTTGATCTGTTTGTTTATAACTTTTTTGAGTTTATAAACTGAGTATAAAAGTCAAAAGAAATAAGTTGGGGGAAATGTATTTTTTTTTTAAGCCAAAAGAAATGAGTTCGGGGGAAGGTTTTTTTTTTTTTTTTAGGGGGGGGGGGGGGGGGGGGGGGCCTTATAAGCAAAGCTTTGACTAAGCATATTACCACATTACCTCCTTTTAATTTTAAAATTTTATCCTATACACTTATTTTTAATAATGTAGTACCATTTTTAGTCATTTTAGTAACAAAATGTTTTTATAAGTCACATTTTATAAAATGTATCAATTATTTATCAGTCATTTATAAGTACTTTAATCAAATATGTAACTGTTTACATTTTAAATGTTTATAAATTCAAATTAGCTGATAAGCACTAGTTGCTTATAAGTTAATTTTTATAAACTAATTTTCATAAGTTCAGTCAAACAAATTCTTGTTTAGAGGGCTATTTAGTTAATAATATTCAATAATACCTTTTGATTTAACTAACTAGTTAAAATCTGAGAAGTTTACTCAAAATTTCTAGTATTTTTATTTATCGCAAGAAAGTTTTAAAAATTGTCAATGAGCAAATAAATTTTAAAAGTAGGCTCTTTTTGCTTCCATGACGACTCAAAAGTTATGCATTGTTTTTATGGATGGAGATTTTCTAAGACAAATTTTGTGCCTTTCATGTGAATATGACTATGAATATATAGCTCGTAAGTAAAACTTTAGTTGAAGGTTAAGTTACCAAGTGTAATTCGACTAAAATCTAATTATCTCATTACACATTTTTTATTAGTAAAACTGAAACACCCACAGGTGAATGTCAACATCCAATAGATTTTGATAAGATGTAGTGATTTGTTTTCCCAGAAGTTACGAGTTTTACGCATTGGAGACTGCAACAACTTGTGTGGCGGAACTTCTCTGTTCAGTTGCGGCTTCAATAATTTGGAAGATTTGAGAATTCGGAATTGCAGAGTAAAAGTGGTATTTCAGCTAGGAGATCTTGCAGTTGATGGACAATCACATCAGTTATCATTCCCAAGTTTGAAATACTTAAGAGTTGCGCTGTCTACAAGAATTAGAAGGTGTATGTAAAGGTTCCAAGCATGTTTTAAGCCTGCAAAATCTTACCACTTTAAGTATCTGTTTCTGTCATAGGCTGACACATATCTTTTCAGCTTCTTTTGCTCGAAATATGTTGCAACTGAAAAGTCTCTCAGTTGAACGTTGTAAGGACTTGGAGCAAATAGTGGTTGAAGATAATGATGATCATCTCCAAGTTCTCTTTCCAAATCTCTCACAAATTTATGTCAAATCGTGCGACAAGTTAAAACGTATCCTTCCGATCAGCGTTGCCCGAGGACTTCAACTGCAAGACAGAGATGTAAGACAGAACTTTAAATTAAAAGAAGTACTTGGACACGAAGAGAAAGCAAACCTCATGGATGAAAAAGTAATCATGCTTCCTCAACTTGACGAGCTTACCATGGTTAATGCCCCTCAGCTGAAGTCAATTTTTTATTTTGAAAATGTTACTGAATGGTTAGGAAAAGATATCCAGCTCCCTAAGCTAAGAAAATTGTCATTTTCTGGATTAGCAAACCTGATCAGCTTCTGTCCAGAAAATTGTCATTCGACTTGGCCAGCTTTGGAAGAATTCAGGATATATCAATGTCCCAATTTAACGATGCCTTTCCTGGATCAAGTTAGAGTGCTAAATCTGATGAAAGAGGTGTGTATATGTTTTATCATCTTTAAATATCTGAAGAAAAAGTAGCAAGTCAAGTTTAAATTAAGGTTATAATTCATATTTTTTCAAGGAAGTAATGCCTTAGTTTGGCTAAAATCTAAATAGATTTAATTACAGAAGGTTTAATCAGATAAGTTTGCTATAAATTATAAAATTAATTCATCGAAATTTTTTATTAGACACAAATCTCTTGCTGTAAGCATAATTTAAAGGCAAATACATTTCGGTTACTTAATGATAAGTCTATTCTAATATGTTTAGTTTTACTTGACACATTCTTTTATACAGACCATTGTAAATTGGTGAATAATATATGGCTCTTAAGTAGAACTCTAATTGGAGGTTAAGTTATCAACTGTAATTCGACTAAAATCTAATTATCTCATTACACATTTTTTATTAATAAAACTGAAAACACCCAAAGGTGAATGTTAACATCCAATAGATTTTGATAAGATGTACTGATTTGTTTTCCCAGAAGTTACGAGTTTTACGCATCAGAGACTGCAACAACTTGTGTGGCGAAACTTCTCTGTTCAGTTGCGGCTTCAATAATTTGGAATATTTGAAAATTTGGAATTGCGGAGTAAAAGTGGTATTTCAGCTAGGAGATCTTGCGGTTGATGGACAATCACATCAGTTATCATTCCCAAGTTTGAAAAAGTTGGAGTTGCGCGGTCTAAAAGAATTAGAAGGTTTATGTAACGGTTCCAAGCATGTTTTAAGCCTGCAAAATCTTACCACTTTAAGTATCTGTTCCTGTCATAGGCTGACACATATCTTTTCAACTACTTTTGCTCGAAATATGCTACAATTGGAAACTCTGTCAGTTGAAGTTGTACGGAATTGCAGCAAATCGTGGTTGAAGATGATGATGATCATCTCCAATCTCTCTTTCCAAATCTCTCAAAAATTCACGTTAAATGGTGCGACAAATTAAAGTGTGTCCTTCCTATCACCATGGCCAGAGGTCTTCAACAATTGAAATTGGTAACTGTGGCATGGGCGAATCAACTGGAAGAAGTATTTGGACATACTGATAGAGTTGATGTCATGACTGACAGAGAAATCCAGCTACCCAAACTTGATGAGTTGTGTTTAAATGATTTACCAAATCTTGCTAACTTCTGTCCCGTCGGATATCACTTCATATTTCCATCTTTGGATTCATTGCACATTACAGGATGTCCCGAGATGAATACAGCATTTTCCTTAAATCAACAAAATAAATTTGTGCACGCGGAAGCCAAGGTAGTTTTTTGAGTCTTCTTAGCTCAATAGAATTTGGTTTATACATTGTTAACCATCATAAGTCAAGAATTTGCTCTTTTTATTTACACTAATGGAGTTGGACGGAAAATTAATTTTTTTTTTCTTTTATAGCTAATTCATGTTTTCTGTAAAACCTTGAAAAGCTTAATGTTATTATTCGTCTTTCATGTTTCCATTAATTGGTTTTGCAGGCTCCAAAAATAAGCATGAAAAATGAAGGAGTAGAGTTCACTCTAGAGCCACCGATTGGGATCGTGTGCTGGAACTCTGATCAGTTCCCAAAAGTATTACCGCTAAGTGATGAGCAAACTGTCACCCAGCAAAATGATATTGAAAACTGACAAGCAAAGCTGAAACAAACTCATGACTGTTAACCAGGTAATGTGATTCTATATTAGATTCTTCTTACTCTTTCTCTTGTCGGTTTTAGTGGTTCAGTTCATGTAACACCCTAATAGATTTTACTGTATACTTGAACAGCTCAACACCACTCAGTTTTAGCTACAAGATATAAAATAATACCACACCTGATTTCCCACACTAACATGTCTTCCAGTTCCAAACAGAGAATGGTGACCATTAATACTTTCGAAGGGATCTATCATGCGACAATTACAGGCTTTTCTGTTAACTAGGCTGTATAAATCTGATGAAACACCTGCTGTGGTCTATGTTAGGAAACGTGGGAGGGGACAGCATGGGCCAAGCAAGTAAGTGTGGATAGATGGCAGAATGAGTGTGGTTAGTAGGTGAATTCTGTTATAGAATATGAGACTGAATAGCATAAAACGGGACTGAGAGAATAAAGGAGGATATTCTGAAAAAGTGGAAAAGTGTCATTTGGGAGGTAGCAGGCCCTCGAAGTCCAGCAAGCTATGTTTTCCTTCGTATTTTCATTTTTCCTTCACTGTTTTACTTTCTAATTTCCGTTAGAATCAAAGTTGTGTTGATTGGATTACTTGCTTGAAATCAATACTAATATCATCGTATATTATTCATCTCTTTTCCGACTCTGTGAGAATTATTGGTGTGTGTTGGATTGAATTTGCTTGGGTAGATAGATACTGTGAATTGATTGGTTGTTGGGTTTGAGCTTGGTATCTATCAATATCTTACTCAAATTCTCATATATCAGATAATGATTCTGTGTTTTAAATTTCTTTTTCTGTTTTCAGAACTAAATCAGAAGATGAAAGGTGTTTACATCAATTTGAACATTTAGATATGTTTTACACTGCTTTCTCTAATTGGCCTGTGCTGTTAATTATACAATGAAAGGTGAACCTGAAGATCTCTTGACTCTTATATCTAGCACACGTTCATTGAATTTGAACAGTGCAGCAGATATTGATGGAATTCTCCTCCAACCTACATTTTTTTTTTCTTTGGGACTCTTGTTATTATGGTTTTATGGTTCTTCTTAATTGTATTGCGTTTTGAGTTTCATGGCACTTTATCTCTAGACTTTTTCTTTTTATATATGTGTATTTAGACCTCTCTAAGATAAATAGTCTTTTCTATGCGATTCAAAATGAAAGTTAAGTCTTCGTATCTTATTAGTAACAATAATACTAACCTCATTAACCCCTCTCACTAATCCCACGTGGGAGTTTGAGATTGGCTTGATTAGGTGGGATCCATTATTGGACAGGCGGGATCCATGTGAACTGATGAATTGTAAACTGACACGTGGCGTTAGTGAGAAGTGTTAGTGAGTGTAGTGTTACTTGGTTTATTTCTTTAATTATCGATTCAACATTAAATTAACTTCTGTACAAATCGTTCACAATCACATAAATACTTTCACAAGTATTTTCTAATCTTCTATTTTTGTTAGTCTTAGGATACTCTTTATATTGTATAATTTCTTAATTATGTCAGTATATTGTGTAACTGTAACTGACATAATTAGGAGATTCAATTGACCGTTTTCTACCTATATAATGCATGTAACTCTATAGTAGAGATCAACTAATTGAAACATCCAATTCTTCAAACAAACATGGTTTCAAAGCCACTTTCATATACAAACAACAATACTTGAAATACAAGCAATAAACATACCCGTGCAACGCGCGGGCCTTACAATTAAAGAATTGAAACTGATAGAAAAAACGAAAGAAAAGATTAAAAGAAAGATTAGTTATAGAGATGTTGTTTTTGCAGTGAAAGAAGCCTCAAAAGAAACACTGCAATCATAGTCGAACGAATCGATAGCAATATCAAAAGACAAAGCAAACGAGGAGAGAAAAATGAAAAAAACCATAGATAAATAGTAACCCAATTTTCAATCAAACTAGTTGGATTGTTGGTTCAACATTAATTATCCGGTTCACAAATATTATAATTTAATATTATTTATTTGGATTAAATAGGTATATATTGACATGTAATATTTATATTAAATTACTATTTTTAGTTTCTTTATTATTTATTACTTTTATTATTAATTGAAATTAAATTAAATATTACCATAAATATTTTTTAATCTATTATTTTAGTCAATCTCAATATATTATTTATATTGTATAATTTCCAAATTGTGTCAATGTATTTTATAATTTGCAGCTCACATAATTAGAAGATTTAGTGAATCATTTTTCACCTATATAATGTATGTATCTCTATAGTAGATACTAGATATAAATCAAGTGAAATTATTTAGTGGATCATCCAATTATTCTAGTAGATACTAGATATCAATCAAATGAAATTATTTAGTGAATCATCCAATTATTCTAACAAACGTGATGTAAAAATTAATTTCATTAAGCATTTTAACTAGTTCAAAAATATTTTCTTCATCTTTCTCTCAACTTATTCTTTCTTTCCTAGTCGTTTCTTGCACTTTCTCTCTCATCCTTTACCCTATCCGTGGGACCCTGACCCAACACTACACATATCCCCAGAAAACTTTTTCCTTCTTTTTCTCTCAATTTTTTTAATTTTTTAATTTTCCTTGTCTCTTAAGTGGGTTATGTCACTGTCTCCGACTTGAACAGATGGGTCCAAAAGTTCTTTTAATGTAAAATAATCTGGAAAATTAGACACCTCGTAAGCTGGGAAGAAAGTCAATTCTACTTTCTCATCGCAATTTATTTTCCCTCATCTTCTTGCTCTTAGGTCATCAAGATTTGAAGTTACAGAGTTCGGTGCATTTCAAAGTTATAAACTCTCGTTTAGGTATGATTTCATTTTCATTTCTAGAATTGATGACTTTTTTTCATACAAAAAATTTCAAAATACTATTTTTTCATCAAAGTTTATATTCTGTTAGTATCAAAAACATACTTCATTTTCTTAGTCAACGTTTAACGAGTTACTAAAAATCAGGATGAGAGGGGTTTTATAGAGCAGAGATTGATGGATCGAATGATGGTGACCGATTGAAAATTCATCATCGGAATCAATCAAAAATCAACTAAGAACAGAAAATCTTAACTTTGTGGTGACCGATGAGAAATCAAGTGTTAGAATGAGAGGGTTTTTGTAGAGAGGAGACTAAATATTCAAATGGTAGTGACGCAATATTAACTTTAAGTAAGAAATTGATATTTGAAACTTTTTTTTGTGGAAAATTGTCATTAAGGCAAACTTGGGTGGGAAAAAGTCGTTTACTCTTATTTTTACTACTATTAATTTTCTTCTGATTTTTTCCACATTAGATCTGGTGTTTCTGCATATTCCACTTCTAATTATTTCAATTTGCTTTCGTATGAAAAAAGAAAAAGGATATTGAAAGATTAAAGATGAGAAAAAACATAGATTACTGAGTTCTTTGTACTCACTTGCAGCTTGTCTCAAATTTGTGCGGGTGATGGTGATCTAGTGAAGTTCCAAGCAGTGATTGCAGCCGTCTACTTCACAGAAAAGTAATTTTTTTATTTTTTTATTTTTTTATTTTTTGCTTTAGATATAATAATAATAAATAACAAACAAAATAATAATAATAATAATAATATACCTATTTTTCTCTCTTATGTTTTAACATCCGTTGTCAATGTTTCCTACATGTGCAGTTTCATGTTTGTCTTTCAAAGTGTGCGACTGTGTAAATAATAGCTCATAGTGGAGTTTTGTGGGGGTTAGCCGCGTGGTGAGGCATGTGGTTTGCTAGTTAAAGATATCTTCTAACCAAAGAAGGTATGAGAAATTAACTTTTGTCAAACTTACACATATGAAATAATAGTAATTTTTTTGTTTACTTCAGTATTCATATTTTACAGTTATACACCCATAATTTCTACACTTTTCATTTGTTACAATCACACCCCGACAATCAACTCCTCCAAATTCATTTCAACTGCAACAAATTTTACCATATAATATTCAAGCAGTTTTAGATGCATTCTTATTTGATGAAAGGCAAATTGGTACATACCTCAAAAACACAGTCTAGTGTAATTTATAAATAGGTTTTTTTATTTAAAATAATAATAATAATGTCGTTAACTTAATTCAACAAAATGTATCAAAACATAAAATCAAAAACAGACATCACAACTTAATCGACTCAGCAAAAAAGAGAGAGTTGGGATGTTGACAGAGAGTGAAGAAAGGAGAAGGAAGAGGAAGTTGCGAATGAGAGCGAAAGAGAAGATGAAGATTAGAAATGGTGATAAGATTGATGGTGGGATGAGAACTGGCGATTGGAGATGGTGATTAGAAATGGTGGTAAGATTTAGGGATTAGAGTAGTTTAATCTTTTTTTTTTTTTTTAATGGGTGACCCGTGGGTATACCCAACCCACTCATAAAAAAATGGATCGGTTCGAGTACAGATGAATAAAAAAAGGCCTAAAATCATGTACTCGCATCCTATATTGTTTTGCGGGTACGGGTCCAAATGGAGGTAAATGTCTTTTACTCTGTAAATCAAAACAAAACAACATTTGCTATTGTGATTTGTGACACATATTTAAAAATATTTTTATTCATTTTTCCTCAACTTATTCTTTCTTTCTTTCCTAGTTTTTCCTTTTACTTTCTCTCTCATCCTTTGCCCTATCCCTGGGACCCTGACCCAACACAAATGCCCAAAAAACCTTTTTCCTTCTTTCTTTTTCTCTCATTTTATTTTTTATTTTTTAATTTTCCTTGTCTCTTAAGTGGGTTATGTCACTGTCACCAACATGAACACATGGTCCAGTGATGCGAACACATCACAAAATGAAAAGTTTATCACTTTTATAAGAACTTTTAGACCAGCCCATTAAGCAGTTTTAGCCTAAAGGAAAATTAACTTTAACTTTTTTTTTTCCTTTTAATGTTAAAAAACATGGATAATTAGACTTCTCGTAAGCTGGGAAGAAAGTCATTTCCACTTTCTAATCCCAATTTAT